CCTTCAGACACCCAGGCAACAGCTCCTGCAACCTTAGGGACGGGTTTACAACCATCACCCGCTTCAGCCAGAATATACGGCTGAGTATATTCCCACTGTCCATTCAGCCAGTCATACCTCGCATTCAGACGCTTCGCTATCACCGGCACAGCCCAGCCTAAAAACAAGCAGCACATCATAACGTCACATGAAAGTGGTTCTTTCTTCCGAAGGGAAGTTTACGCAAATAAATCAGGTTGACACCCCAACTTATAGTGCTTAATGCCTTTGAAATTAAATCTCTGCAAAGGAGGAAAATTCCCTGTGCCACCTTCATCTTAATCATGTATTAAATTAAATGTATGCACTTGAGGAAAAGCTCATGATACTCCATCTCATAGGCCAGCAGCCGTCCCTTACTGTGTCCCTTGTTATGCCTACTGTTCTTCAGCTTTGAGCACTGCATGACTATGCATTACCTGGAGAGGTGAAAACTGCCTGTGCAAGGCCGCAGTTGTGTCCTCCACACCCCCACGAGTAGAGCACTCGAGGGATCCAGTTCCCCAGTGCTTGGACAGGAACGGACGAGAAGTGCACTCTGGACAAAATCTCCTTCCCCCTGACGAGTGTGAGAAAGTATGTATTACATGATCACCGGCGCTCATCACGCTCCCCAAACGGTCCACTTCTCAGGACACTTTGGCCATGCAGTCTGTATGACATGCAATGCATGCAGTATATCTACTAGGAAACCACTAGGATTTGCATATAGACACTTAAAAATGTGCAAGAGATTTGCATACACTCACAGCATGATACACAACAACGATAAGAGAGTCACATTCTAACCACATTCACATTCTAATTTCACCACAAGACAGTACATAAAAAATTAATAACTTAAATATGGATGGTCGAGATAAAATCTACCATTATGTCACAATATGCTTTTCAGAGCATGTCATGGATATCATCAGTACCTAAAGAACTCACCAACTGCATGCTGGAGAACATAATTAGTCCTGTTTAATTGGATTTAACATGTAAAAAGTTTAACAAACTTCACTGGATTTGCCTTTTTGAATAGTACTTTATGAAATGTGGCACTACTGATGCATTTTTCATATGTTTTTAACTTATATAATATTATGATGCACATTACAGTTTGGCTATTTTGCCCACCCATAGTGTAAACAACAACAACAAACAACAACAACACAACAGCCAGTACATAACTACATAAAGCATAGTGACAAGTAACTGATTGGATGTCAGTCCATACTGACATCATCTTATTTTTCTAAATTATTACTTGTCTTTTATTACTAAGTATATCTTTTCATGTTTCTTGGGAAACGCTTTATTTTTTTATAGTCTTTTTTAAAACTGTTATGCTGGTGCATTTTTTTCCATTCCAACTTGTTTACAAATCTCAGAAACCTCAGAACAAATATTGCGATGCATATCATGTATCATGATAATAGTTTGGCCATATCGCCCAGCCCTAGTGTAAACAACAACAATAACAGCAATAGCCAGTGCCCAGTAACTGTATAAACTGCAAAAGGAACTATAAACTGCCTAGGAACAAGTTGCTGATTGGATGACAGTCCATTATGACATCATCTTATTTTAATAGATTATCTTTTAAATTGTCTTTTTCTCATGTTTGTTTTTAATCAACGATTTTGGGAAAATGTTGATTAAAACCTTTTTACAGACTTTTATATCCTGTTTTAATACAATATAGTACTGTTTTACTGGTGCGTTTTTTTCCATTCCAACTTGTTTATAGGTCTCAGAAACCTCAGAAAAACTAAATATGGTGATACACAAGAATCGCGTATCGTGAAGAAAAGTATCGCGATGCTACATGTTTGTTATATCGGCCACTTTTATTACAACGTTCCGTGGAAAAGCTGTCGTGTGTAAGTTATCATGACCAGCCGGTTTTGCGGTTGCTGGATACAGTGTTTTCACTAACTGAGAGTACAAAACGGACCCAGCCCCTCCCAGCAGGACCCCCCACCTGCCACCGGCGGCTCCATACACCTGCTCCCGCATCCACAGCGCCTGCTCGACCGCCGAGTCGTCCATGGAGAGGACGAGCACCTGGGCGCTGGGCGGAAGGAACTCGATCAGGTCCGAGAGGGACTCGTTGGAGGTCCACAGGCACTCCAGAAACGCCGACTTGTTGGTGAAGGCGTGGATGATCAGCGAGGACCTGGAGGAGCCCAGCGGCGGGTAGCTGAACTCTCCATCCAGGATGGGGACGCGGAAAGCTGGGGCTGGGTCGCCGGGATCAAAGCCTCCGAGGCCGGCCCGAACGCTCCACAGCTTCGTGTTGGACAAGCCTCCCTGCACGGCAGCGATCACAACACAGCAGCAGAGGAAACGGGCGAGAAGCGGCCACGGTTTCGGGGGAAAGCGAGTCATGCTGGACTGCACAGCCCGGTCGGCCCGCCGCGCGATACCGAAAGCAGAAGTTGGCGAAGTTTTATCGCTGCTACCATTACCGCTTTACATGGAGGGGAAGAGGGCGGGGCCTACGGCGGCCTGAAAGGGGCGCCACGTTTAAATAGTCGATTTTAAAGAGTCGGTTTAAAGTTTTTTTTTAATTGATGCAATTATTCATAACAATTACAACCTAATCACTACCACATTTAAAAATCACAAAACAGAGGAATTATTCATATATGAATGAATGAATGAATGAATAAAAATACTACCATTTGAAAATTTGTTTTTATGAATAAAATGTTCTGCAGATAAAATAAATAACTAGTAGCAAAAGGCATCTGTCACAGTGAAGCTGTGGCTCTGATTCACAGGAGAAAAACGAAATAAACTTCAGCTGAGACCAGAAAAGAGACACAAAGACGGTCATAAAACAAGTGAAGCACTGATTCACTTTCTTTACTCAACTCTTCTGTCTGTCTTTTGTCTGCAACAGCAAATATAACTTTTCATCTGTTTGATGCTTTATGAGGAGAAAATATGTGTGTGTAGCACAGCTTCCAAGCTAACAGAGCCTGTTGGTGGAAATTGGAAAACTGTATGTGTAGTCGAGAAAGTAAATAATTACATCTCAAAACCTGATCTAGACCAGTTTTCCAAAAGATGTGGTGTGGGATGAAGCAGAGCCGGTGTACGAGGAGCCTGGCCTTCTCCTATTTTCCCTATTTCTCCAGAAGGTGCCCGTGAGTGAGTGCTCAATGAATGAGCATGAAAGGAGCTCAACGGCTAAAAACACACAAACACACACACATTTTCTAAACCGCTTATCCTCCTGGGTCGTGGGGGGAGCTGGAGCCTATCCCAGCAGTCAATAGGCAGAAGGCAGGATACACCCTGGACAGGTAGCCGGTCCATCGCAGGGCAAAAAACGAAAGTTAAAATAGTTTCTAATCACTTGTCTGAACTTTCCTTTAATTTTAGAAGGTAGAAGTTTGTAATTCACTAAAAAAGTAAAGAAAACTAACCTGTATGTTTCTTTTTTTCTACAGCAAATGAGTTTTGGGCAGTAGGACGCCAGCATTACTGCTACTGAGCGCTGACTGGTTGACATTACTGCTACTGAGTGCTGATTTGTTAGCATTACTGCTACTGAGTGCTGATTTGTTGGCATTTCTACTATCGAGTGCTGATTGGTTAGCATTACTGCTACTGAGAACTGATTGGCTAGCATTGCTGCTACTGAAAACTGATTGATTAGCATTACTGCTACTGAGAACTGATTGGCTAGCATTACTGCTGCTGAGTGCTGATTGATTAGCATTACTGCTACGGAGAACTGATTGGCTAGCATTGCTGCTACTGAAAACTGATTGGCTAGCGTTACTGCTGCTGAGTGCTGATTGATTAGCATTACTGCTATGGAGAACTGATTGGCTAGCATTACTGCTACTGAGAGCTGATTGGCTAGCATTACTGCTACTGAAAACTGATTGATTAGCATTTCTGCTATGAGAGCTGATTGGTTGGCAAGCGGAGCAGTTCATTGGCTAGATGAAGTTAAAATGTTTTATGATGTTCAGTGTTCAGGAAATTAATGCTTTTTTCTATATAAAAAATGTTTATGCATTTATGAACTATGCTTTTGTTCAAATGCTCCGTCTTAACCCATTCATTTTGGACTCGCTCATGGCGCCCTCTAGTGTTTGACAAGCCCAAAAGACATTACAGAGTGGCAATTCTCACTACAAATTCTCTGATCGACACTAACTAAACATTTGAGCTGTCCAAAAGTTTGTAGACACCTGCTCGTTCAACCATTTCCTGATGTCAAGGGTATTGATAGGGAGTTTGCTCTCCTTTGCTGCAGTAACAGCCTCTACTCTTTACACTAGATGTTGGAACATTGCTGTGAGGATTTGATTCCATTCAGCCACAAAAGCATTAGTGAGGTCAGGTACTGATGTTGGATGATCAGTTCTACACTTCACCGCCTCGCAAAGGTATTGGGTGGAGCTCCATCACTCCAGAGAACGCAGTTACGCTGCTCCACAGCCCAGTGCAGGGGGGCTTTATACCCCTCTAGCTGACGCTTGGCATTGGAAATGGTGACCTGAGGTGCTGCTCCAGAGTGTCCAATCCTATTGGTCAGTGTTTTCTATAGAGATTATACTAGCAGTGGGTGTAGCTGAATTCACTAATTAGAAGGATGTGAACTGGTTTGCCCAAAATATTCCACATAGTAAGTCTGTGGACTTAACATTATCGGACAGCTGAACACACTCGGAGGAGAACACTAACCGCCAGTTCAGTTCTGTTGGCCAGCATCGCGCTGAATGATGATGATGGGGGGGGCTGATGGGGGATTGGAAGGGACTCCTGGCCACGGATGGCTGTAGCACCACAAAGGATCGAACTCACGATCCCCTGATGATAGGCCCAACATTCAAAGGCTGCATCACTCTGATTTGTATCTCGAACTGACTCATTGTTCCATATGTAGTGAACTATGGAGATTCAGTTATATGTAGGGTAGCCAAAATATTCGTCCCGTACTGTTTCCCACAATGCACCTCGATGTATGCATTTTCTTACTGATCTATGCTGTGTTTGGAATAGGTCTTTATGCAGCGTTGGCGATAATTGACTGAGAATAATTATGAAATTACTAAAAGATCTATCACTGAGACTTCGAACAACACTACCGCAGCTCACGCACTATAGAGTTCACCATTTCTCTGATATGGACCGATTTCGAGCACAGCTCATGCGCATCTGGGATGTATCCACCCCTTTTCTAAAATTTGGTGCCTTTAACTAATGTGTTATAACGTATTATTGTGTAATACGATGTCAGTCTTTCGTTGGCTATTAGGAATACATGTGAGGAACTCCGGTCAATTTGGTTGCCTAATGTTAGCCTTAAAATGTAAGTTTACTAGACTAACTGTAGTCTAACTGTAGGCTTATAAAAATTGCAGTGTAACCAAAGGCAACTAGTTGTTTTTTTAGTACTTCATATGTCCTCCCCATGGCCAAAATGTACAGCCGGCACTTTACATCGTTTGTTAGCTGAAGGCTGATTTACGTGGATGGCTGTAGCTAAAACAGCTGTTACTGTTTTTTTTTACCAATTTTGCTAACATTGATTGCTGCACACTAAGGGAGGGGCTGGGCATTAGCCCTGCCTTCATCATCCGTTGTCCATCCAGTGGTGTTAGGAAACCCTCAATCATTCAATCAAACGAACTCATAGCAATAAAGGGATAAATAAAAGTTATATATATATATATATATATATATATATATATATATATATATATATATAGACACTTCACACTAGTCACTTTATTTTGGTACCAATATCTGCACATATTTATTCAGTATTGTCATTATATGCCGTTACGTGTGCCTCCTTGTACACTCATTATTGCACTGCGTCTTTCATCCCAGTTTATAGATATTATTCCAGATTGTTGTATTTTTCTATTTGTATATATGCCTGTAGATAGGATTTTTTTTATATTTATTCTTCCTGTTATATTGTTTACACCCTTATTACTATTACTGTCCTGTGTTGTGTGACTGCGACTGGCTGCTAAATTTCCTTCGGGATCAATAAAGTATCTATCCATCTATCTATCTATATAAAACAATCTCTCTCTACCCATACATCAATAGATCAGTCTACAAAATAAACTTCACAGTCTCATCATTAATAATTCCATGCTGCTCCAGGCCCAACAACCAGCCTCACGTAAATCTTATTAGCGGACTCTTTGCATTTGCTGCTGGCTGAAGCTCTTCTGTAGGGTCAGCCATTATGAATTAAGTATTTGCAATTGAGTTGAATGCAGTTGATTGAGCTCTGAAGAGTCAACAGAGACTGAAAATGACCCTCCTTGTGATAATTATCCCTAATTGGACAGCAAGGAGACTGATGATTTAGCTCCTTATCACACATCATTAAATCCATCAGGGGTGTCCGTGTCTCTGCACTGGACCAGCCTGTGGAAATGTGGAAAGCTCGGAGCTGCCAGTCTGCTCTGTGTTCTCTGAGCTTTTACCCCACTCTGGAGTGTCTGTAGTGTAAAAAAAGTTTTAGAAAAGCGAAATCTCCTGAAAGCCATCAGCCTTTTCCTCTCTGACAGGAGCCATGAAAACTCTCCTGCTGATGCTCATGCTGCTCACCAGCCTCACTCAGTCCTTCAGCCACGGATACAGCGACCCTGAGGAGGAGAGCTGGACGGACGGCAGATTTGAGACTGAGGTCAGTAAGAGAAAGAATATATATGTCTGATTTTCGATGACTGGTAGAAATACAGTGGTTTTCTCATGGCTATCACTTTTATTTTTCCTCTTTTAAGATAATGTAAGTGGAAAGTGACACAAACTTTGGTGTTTTGAGACGAAGTTAGCTTCTTAGTCGAATGTTCTGGTCCACCTTAAATGGTGCCCTTAATTCTGGTGCTGGTCCATGTGCCAGATTGGAATTGCCGTACCATTTAAGGTGGAACAGAAAATTAGAAACTTAAAAAATTAAAAACGAAGAATGTGGAGAACAGGAAGCCAACTTCAGTCTCGTTCTTTACTGTCAGGATAAGAGTGGCATATATTTTTTGCATTAATGCTGTAATTTTTAGAGTAGTGAAAGATTTAATGGCCTGATAAAATATCACATTCTGAGTTACTGGAAAAATGAGTCTTTCTGCTGTTTTTCTCTTTTTTGAAGGGGAATTCTAGCAATTTAAAAAAAAAACCTCAATAATTCAGTGTTTTGAGATATAAACAGAGTCATTCAGTGGTTTGAGGTGAAATAATTCATTGTAGAGAAAATTATTGACTCTGATTTCTTTACAGTGGTTGTAATAGGAACCAGGGGTCACAATGTCTACAACACAAATATACAATTATATTCTCTATCCAAAACCACCAGTGACCATACACAGCTTCTGAGCTCACAACACCCTCCATGTACTCCACCACCATGACTGGACTAAAATAAATGGTTTAAAAAAACATTTTAAGCTGTGACTTTATCACAAAACCGATCATAAACAATGTCTCAGACATCAGGCAGTGCATTCATAACCATTTCATAACTTTCTGGGAGGGAGCTTTTAGAGGTTTTGGAAGGTGACATTTTTCTTGTTGTTTTGAACCTGAAGGCTTCAGCATTCACCTGAACATTTCTCACGCTAATGCTGCAATTTGTGCAGTACTACAACGTTTTAATGCTCTGAGAAAATATATGATCTGACTGGGAGAAACACAGAGGCTTTTTTAAAGGCTATAAACTTTATTTTTCTCTTTAAAGGTAGAGTAATTCACTGGAAGTGACACATTTTGTTGTTTTGAGCCTGAAGACTTTAGCATGACTGTGCTGGTTTACAGGTTTTGCTATAAAACTGGCAGAAAACAGAGGCTGTTTCTGTTAGCATCAGAGTAGCACAGCTCACACATCAAATTTGAGTGAAATAATATAAATGTTTTATTATATTAAAAGAAATATATCACTTTTATGATAACTAGAGCCAAAGTACAGTGGCTTTTTCAAGGCTACAAGCCATTTTTGGCATTTTGAGCCTTAAAGCTTAACATCAAGATTCTAGATATTTCTGTCAGGAGTAGCATAGCTAACCGCTAACTCTCACATAAAACTGAACAGTAGTATAATGTTTTAATGGTCAGTGACCAAGTATTTTGCATTATAATGACTGGAAGCACATTTTTAAAGGCTATAACCTTTATTTTTCTCTTTTAAGGTAAAGTAAGTGCACAGTAACAAAGGCGTACACTGCAAAAAAATCATGGCAAGTGAAATCATCTTAAATCTAGTCCAGATATGTAATAGTTCTCATTCTGAGATTGTTGTAAAAAGTTTTTCAGCGTATTCATAGACGTTTTACTTGCTTTAAGTAATTTTGTCTAGTGAAACTGTCTCATTGTATCGTCTAAAAATAAGTTAAATATTCCTATAATGTTTTTACAGTCTCAAAATAAGAAATATGAAATATGTTGTCTAGATTTAAGATGATTCCACTTGCCAAGATCATTTTTCCATAGTAAGAGTAGCATATTTCCCACAAAAGTACTGTAAAAAATATGACTGGATCCAAATACAGTTTCTGTTAGATTTAATTATTGATTTAATTGTTTACATTTATTTTATTGATTGATGTAGGTGTGGAAAATTAAAGCGTGTCTATTATCTTAAGAGGAGAAACTGGAGACTAATATTAGCCATCCAGATGTATTCAGAGATTAACCTCTTATTCTCCAGGGTTTATTTTGGTTTTTCTATCTGAATTTACATGACCAAATCTTAATGCAAATTATTCAGTAACTGTATGAAATAAATGTACATTTTTATTTTATTGTTTTATGATCATACACATATTGCCATATGCTTACAGTTTACTGCTGAAAGCCAAAAATCTTAGACGCTCTTTGTATTTTTTTATAAAAATAATTTTTACAGAGCAGATCACTGAAGAGACGCCATCTGTTTATAGTTTATAGCCCAGATTTGTGGAAAATGGGTCGACTTTCAGTAGACAAAAAAATTGTGAGTTCAGCTTCTTTTATTGTAAGGATATTTTTCCTCCTTTTCTTTTACTTTGCATATTTTTTCTGCTACCAGGCTGTATGTGTGGAAAGGAATTCGTGCCAAACTGAAAAGCAAAGTCACTACAGTGGAAAAACATAAAATGCAACGCACACATGACATTACCTTATCGGGTTTTCATGTCGCTTCACCTTTTTACTGAAAAACAATACATGAGAATTAAATACAATCTGCCTTGAAGTGTAATAAACAGCTATTGGTGTCCACTGTGCAGAACTTCAAACAACATTAAATCAATGTAATGGATCTTTTACTTTTAATGTAGGCACATTTTTTGCATGTTCCTGTTTAAATGCAATCTCATGTGTGCATTACATTTCACTGTTTTGGTTGCAGTTCAATGAGGCAGATACCTTTGAAGCATAAAAAAGGTCAAGTGTCATGAAAATGTTGTAGTGGGGGTTTTGCCTTTCATTTTCGTGTGTATTCTGCATGTCACCTATGCATTGTATTACACTGGTTTCACTGTTATGACTGCATTTTAATGATGAAAATCAATTAAAAGTACTGCATGGTGGAAAGCAATAGCTGTACCTTCATTACATTTCAGAGTGAATTGTGTTCAATTCTGACAAATTCTATGTTTCATGTTTTAAATGCAAATCGTCATGTTTTTCATTAAAGATGTCAAGCGACGTGAGGTTTTGTTTTTATATTTTGGCACATATTCTGCATGACACTATGGAAAGTAATCTCGTGCGCACTGCATTTCACTATTTTGGTTGCAGTTCAATGAGACAGATACATTTGAAGCACAAAAAGAGGTCAAGTGACGAAAACATTGTAGTGGGGGTTTTGCTTTTCATTTTGGCATGTATTCTGCATTGTCACTATATTAAGTTAATGTCACGAGTGCAGCGCATTTCACACTGTAATGATTACTTTTCAGTTTGGGACAAATCCCTCTCTCTGTCATCTCTGTAAATGTATTCAAGCAAATGGCTGTAAGAAAAACAATGTTTTTGAGCCTATAACTGTTGTTTCTTCCTCTGTCCTTTAAGATTAAGTGGTTTGAACCTGATCCATTACAGACGATGGTGAAGAAAATGGTGCGGAGACCTGACCAACAACAGTTTTTTGGTCTAATGGGGAGAAGATCCTCAGGTAAGGATGTTATTTGCGTTCTACAAGATCTACAAAACACTCATCATAAATGAATCTGTAGTTCATTGTTTTCTACTCTTTTTTTATGAATACAGCTTTTTACAAAATGTGACATTAATCTGAAGTTTCTCTCTTTCTCTCTCTCTTTTCTTTCCTAGCAAAATCACAGATAACACGGAAAAGTAAGCATAGCTTCATTACGCTCTACAGGTTTTGCTCGATTGTTTCGTAGTTACGGAGCATTAAAGCATATCTTTTAACTTGAGAGAAGAGATTAGAGCAGGATAATGCGGATTAATATTAGCCATCCGTCTGTATTTATTGAGAACTGCTTAGGGTACAACATACTAACATACACTTTAAGTCCAAAAGTTTGTAGACACCTGATCATCCAGCGTCTCTAAGGGTATTAATAGGGAGTTTGATTCTCTTTGCTGCAGTAACAGTCTCTGCTCTTCTGGGAAGGCTTTACACTAGATGTTGGAACACTGCGGTGAGGATTTGATTGCATTCAGCCAAGTGCATTAGTGAGGTCAGGTTCTGATGTTGGATGATCAGTTCTGGACACTCCAACTCATCACAAAGGTACTGGATGGAGCTCCATCACTCCAGAGAACACAGCTCCACTGCTCCACAGCCAAATGCTGGGGGAGCTTTATACTTCTCTTCTATAGAGATTATACAAGCTGTGTGTGACCAGAAAGTAGATGAATTCACTAATTAGAAGGGCTGTCTGGATACTTTTGGACATTTAGTGTACGTGGAATGTAATGTAAATGAATCCTATTAGACGTTTTAACTTTTATTCCCTTTTTCAGGGCAAAAGTTTCAGTCTTTTGTGGGCCTCATGGGAAAGCGGAGTGTAGAGGGTGAGTGAAGTTCCCTTTTCTCTAAGCTGTCATTCTTCCCTCTTTTCTCTTTTTGAGCTATTCAGTATGTTTAAGAGGAACCCTCATCGTTGAGATCCTGTTGAAAATCGGTCGTAACCCCTTTTAAACAAACTCTTGCTAAATATTCATTCTATTTTAGGCTCTTTCTGATGGAACTGGGAGCAGAATACCACTCATGGTACTCACCCATTCAGTTTCAAGTTGATGCGTTTCAAGATCCACAGTATTTCTGCTTGTGAAACTGTTAAAAACGGCTAATAAAAGTGAGAAATGAAACCTTTCAGTGTCATCTTTTGAGTTTTAGTGTTTTAGTTACAAATGAATAGGCACATTATTTTTTAGAACACTTGTTATGGTAGGGAGAAGAACTTCAATAAAATAGATGTAATATAAGAGAAAGTTGAGAACAAATAGACTTCAGTGTGCAATGTGATGAATGTAATGAATTTCATTGGATTTGTAAATCAACTGGAACTGCCGCATGCAGTGCAGTCAATAAGTAATTGTTCACTTACATTTTTCATTTCTTTTTTTCCAGCACATTAACTGATGCAGGATGTTAGCTTTAATTTGAAGGCGTTACATCTATATTGGATAAACCACATAGGAATCACAACACATTTCCCTCTGTTTTAAAGTACTGTTTGCAGGTAAATAGTAGAACAGACTATCCAGGGCAACTAACAACAAGTCTGTGGTTGGTTATGTTAAAGCAGGTGATTCTTGGCCACGTTGAGCAACAAATCCCACCAGATTCAGACGTCTGGCTCATGAGACAAACTTTGGTGTACAGTTTCAAAGGAATGAGGCCTACAGAAACTGTACTTGCAAGGGGCCCAAATATTTCTGGAAAGCCCCTGAAACACCATTAAAGGTGAAGTGTGTAGGATTTAGTGGCATCTAGTGGTGAGGTTGCAGATTGCAACTAACGGAATTCCCCTACTTCACCCCTTCCTTGTACAACCTCCAGTGGCCATCATGCCATTGACTATCCCCATTTCTTCTGCTTCTTCGGTGATGGGGATTCAGGCTCCTTTGCTTTTTCTCGCACTAAAAAATTATGATCCTCTATTTGTCAAAATTTGGGTTCTCAAACTTCTCACATCACAAAATGGTTATCCAGCACCAGCAGGAACCACTGATTCTTTTTTTCTCCATCTTCCAACCAGAACTACAGTGCCACCAAATTCAAGCTGCTGCTTCAACAGAAAAAACATGAAAGGCAACCTCTAGAGACAGCTTTTTGTTTGTCCATTCTGGGCTACTGTAGACACATGGCGGCTCAACATGGAGGCCTCTGTTGGAAGTGGAACCGCTTTCTATGTAGAAATGAAGGGCTCATTCTAGATGAAGCTAATGAAAACACACTGTGTAGTTAAAGGTGATTATACACTAATGAAAATATGGTTTTGTATGCTATATTCCATTTCTGCTAATAGATCCCCTTAAATCTTTCACACTGCACCTTTAACTAATAGAGAAAGAAAAATAAAGTGGAATGTTTTTGTCTGGCCAAATCGGTCACCTGCCTTGAACCTTGAACAGCAGCATTTCACTTATTGAAGAAAAAAGGCTGAAAACAGGCAGGAACTGAGAATAGCTTTATTACTGGCTTGGCAGAGCATCATCAGGGAAATACCCAGCATTAAGTGATGCCTGTTATTGCCTTTAGATCCCATGTGTGAAACACAAGGCCTGCGGGCAAAGTCAGACAGTGGGAAACGTTCAGGTGAAAGTGACCTTCCAAATCTTCCTTGATTCCGCTGTTGAGGCTGAAATTGGCTTCCTATTTGCATTTTCCTGTTCCACCTTAAATCGTGCATTCAAGCGCAGAATGGAACTGCTGCATCATTTAAGGTGGAACAGGAAAATTTGATCCAGAAGCTGGCAAGTAAGAAGCTGGCTTCAGCTTCATCAAGAGTTGAAAGGCATGAAAAGGGATGAGGAGGCTGCTCTGTTTCTGCTTCACAGGAGGGCAACATTAACTTATTTTTGCTGTATTACAGAACCGATAGGTCAGTATTGTTTTGTCCTGTTTTTTATAGTTTATTGTCCTTTATAAAAACATTATACAGCCTTAAATAGATTTGGATGTGCACGAATACAGTTGTATGAAGTATCAGAGAATAATGGGTAATGTTGTTTCTGTTTATATGGGTCAATGTTAATGCAGCGTATATGAGAAATCAGGCAACACTGAGGCACTACAACAACCTACATGGTTGGAATTACAGTAGAACATCCTCCTGAAGATATGAAATGGATAGTATGTTTATACTAAAATGCATCATCTGTTTACTGTTTAAGTAAATAAACAGAGTAAATGCAAACTACAAATATGTGCTATAGAATATTGTTCCAATTTGTTTTGAAAAAAAAAAAAAACAGCACACATTATTACCTCAATCCATATCACACGTTTATTAAGTGGCTGTACAATAACAAATGAAAAATAAAATTTAAAAAATACGGAGTACATAACCAAAAGGGGGGAAATATGTTGTGAACTTGCTTTTACCACAGACTACAACAAAGTCATATTGGGAGTATAACAGGTGGGGTTACGGATATACAGGATTTACACCCTTTTATCACAGGATTACATCTGAACCCGTCAATTCTTTTACAAAACTGGTCTGCCAAGTATTCTATGATATAGAAAAAATATTATTTTAGCTGGCTCGGGATACATATACATTTATATATAAAAAATAAACTAACTGAAATATTAATGAAGTTATATGAGGTGGTCGAAGGATAGTGACTAGACAAAACAGCATATATTTTAGAAACACTTTCAATGAACACACATACAAAAAACAAGTTTTGCTTGTCAATTCATGTAGGTTTTTAACAGTTTCTCAAATTACCCTTTGTTAAAAACGTCTTCTGGAATGAGGTTTATGCATACTGAAAACAAAAGAGGTACAGTCTGGCGTATAAATTTTTTTTTGTTTGACATCTTGGAAATTTAAGGAATTGGCAACAGTAACCGCCGAAAAGATGATTGTTCGACAGTGGTGTATAACTGCGGACACCTGCTGTTAAATGGTAAACGAAAACTATGAAGAGTATAGAATTCGATATATATGTACACACGTTTATAAGGGTTTGGCTTGCCTAAAGTAAGGCGGACTTTAGTCCACACCCAGCTGTTTGCCTCCAGCAGCGCTCACAGACGACACTCAGCCGCAAACGTGCAGCACTCACTGAAAGCTACACAGATAACTGGTCTGGGGGAAAAGTGGCGATGAAAACAACCTGCTCATCTTGCAAATGGTTTTAAAATATCTTCCCTTTCTTCTTGTTCTTTTCCAAAGTCCTGTGGGGGGGAAAAAGGAGCATGTTACTTTTTAGTGAATAACTTTTTAATACATAAAAAGTACATGACCGTTCACAAGTTTGGAATCAATATTTTTAGAAATATAAAACAATGCATGTATGAATTGCCTCTAATATGCAAGTCTTGTACAGGTTTCAAATAATTAGTATGAAGATGGGAGGTACAAATATGAAATATTAGATGTGTCCAGAATGATGAATATATAGCTGCAGATGTTTCAAACATGGCTGAGAAAGCTGTATAATATGAAGTTAACATTACTGCAAATACATAATTACATTGTTCTATGGCATTTAATAGCTTCTTGTTGTTTCAAAACTAGGGGGGTGGGCACAACCTAACAGGGAATAATGCAACATGGATAATCAAGCATGGATGTTCAAGCATGGGTGTTCAAGCAGAATGCTTTTGGTCATCACATCATATCATGTATTCCCATAGCAACATCATCTATGAATTCTCACAGCAATCGGACAGATGTTTCTCAGGATTCACCCTGATGACTGTTTTTCATATAATAAAAGGAACTGTGTTTATTACTATGAATTCACACCTACATTACTTTAATCATGTTCTTGTTGGCTGTGACGTAGGACGTCAAGTACAGCCGTGGCTATGTAACATAGAACTGTACTGAATTAATTATGCTTGCATCAATTTATAAGACCTTTTCAGCAACTTTCTTACCCCCCATCAGTTATGTAACTTCTCTTCTCCGTTAATAAGTTTAACTTTGTTTTGGCTGAATTGTTCAAAAACGGTGTGCTGGAAAAAAGGTCACATTTTCATTTGTAGCAATTACGTGCAAAATGCTCAGCAATTCAGTTCTGCTCAACCGCTACTAGAAATATTTAGCTGAACAGATAAAAATGCTCTGTACATTGTACTTCTACATTTTAGAAATTATTGTAAATAAAAATAATATAAAAAGTGATTCCAAAATTTTGAAGCGCTTCAAATTGTTTTCTGACATTAATACACACAGCAAAAGTGTGTGTGCTCAAGATGCAAACCTGGATGCGTCGAGTTTCTGCTGCTCCAGGAGGCGCTGTTGTGCCTCCCAGCTGGCTCTCTCATCCTCAAACTGGCGCCTCCTTTCCTCCAGCTCTTTGTGCTGCGCCTCCAGGTTCTTCTTCATCTGCTCATGACGCCGCTGCAGCTGGAGTGGAACAAGAGCGCAGGGAGGTCAGGGGGCTGAGAAGCTCTCTCAGGGTTTAGAGCTCAAGTGTTACTACAATCATAAGCCAGCTCTTTGGTTATACTCTCTTTGTAGCATTTGCATGAACAGAACTAAGCCAACACTGAAAGGGTGCTTTAAATGGACTACGAAGCTCTAAGGTGCCAAATGCTGGTCAGTGACCCATAGTAATTAAGCCACCTGTGTGACCCATAAAACGTTTTTAACATAAAATTTATGCAACCTAGCACAGCTCTGTCTGATTCTAGTTCTGAAAGTGGGAGTCCAGCAGAGTTTAGTGCTTTTCCTGCTTAAACACAGCTACTAAACCTGGTAGGTAAAGCTCTGCTCACACTGCACGTACAAAATGGCCCAAAACTGATCTTTTTTTTCCGTATGTGTGAACAGCAAAAAAACACTGAACATGACCGTTTCAGATTTGGGGCTCTTTCATTTGGAACTGAAATCCAATACGTATCTGATACATGGCAATGTGACCTCAGTCTGAACATTCCTCAGCTTGGAATACACAGGAATTTTACGTCAATCCCACTGAATCCCGCTCATCACAATTTTACTCGTGTGGGAACAGACACCTTACGGCAACGTCAATAAAATGCTCATTACTATGTTTACGCTTCTCAACTTCTGTTTTGGAGGAGAGAGATGAGCGCAGGTGGTGTAAACAAATAAGGTT